TCAGTCACAAGAACGTCGAATCTGAATCACTTGAAAAAAACACGGGGGTGCTTAACTTTTTTCCAGATGTATATTATATCACTAACATAAAAGGTGGAAGCTCGTTTTTTGTATAAACCTTTACGAGAGATAAGAAGATCTAAAGAGAGATATATAATATGCACAAGATCTGTATGAGAACGTTTTCTGTTATCATTTTTGCAGTTCTTCAATCAGATTGACACAAATGCTGACCAAACGATTTCTCCTGGAGATTTCGATGGCTTGACAGAAGAGGTAACACACTTATACATAATGGTTTTGAACTCAGAAAATACGTTATTTGTTTTTATTTCACCCTCTTTTAAATTTTTTATTTTAAGGTTATTATTTTTTTATCTTCAAGTATGCATAATGTGACAATGAAATTTTATAGTTGATTAAATTCTTCTGATTCCTGTTAAACAGGAGAAGGTGTCGGATTTTACAACATAACTTATTCATCCTTTCATAAGTAAGAAGTCGTATAAGAAGTATAAAACATGAAAACGTTGGACAATTTGGATAAGAACCAGAAAGTAATGAAGAAACGTACAACAACTTATTGGTGATAAACCAAGTATCAATGTAACAAATGTTTATCGGTTGAAAATAAAGGGCATAAGATTGGTATCATAAGCAGATGTGTTTTATTAAGACAGATACAACCGAAAAATCAAGTATTGCTTCTTGTTTAGTGCCCCTGAATATCAGCCAAATATAGAAAAAAAGGAGCTTGTAATGTATAAAAGACAGCTGTGCAATGGTTCTTGTATACAGAACACAGCAGTTTGCTGGTTCTTTATACAAAACATTGCTACTCGATGATTTTTGTATACAGAATATGGCTGTTCGATTGTTCTTGTATACAGAATACGGCTGTTCTCTGGTTCTTATATACAGAACACAGCTGTGCGATGGTTCTTGTATACGGAACATGGCTGCTCTTGGGCTCTTGTACATAGAACATTACTGCTCTTGGGTTCTTGTACATGAAACACAACTTTTCGATGGTTCTTGTATACAGAACATGGTTGTTTGGTGGTTCTTGTATATAGCATATTGCTGCTTCTTGGTTCTTGCATCCAGAACATTGCTGCTCTTTGGTTCTTGCATAAATAACATGGTTACTCTTGGGTTCTAGCATACAGAACATGACTACTCTTTGGTTCTTGTATATAGACTTGGCCACTCTTTGGTTCTTGGAAACAAAATATGGTTACTACTTGGTTCTTGTATACTGAACATTGATGTTCTTTGGTTCTTGTATACAGAACATGGTTACTGTTTGGTTCTTCTATGCAGAACATACCTGCGAAGTTGGTAAGCATTAGATTCCTCATTACCATCTTGTCCTCACAGACCCATGCTTTTCGTTGAATAGCATCCTCGAAACACGTTATTAATACATTCATATAAGAAGGCTACCTAACAGTTAACAAATTGTCTTCGGAAGTCATAGTAATAGAGGATTCACATGAGAAAACTATCTGGTCGTCAATTAGTTGTATTTTAAAGTCGTATTAATAATGGATTCGCATGAGAAAACTATCTGATCATCAATTAGTTGTATTTTAAAGTAATATTAATAGTGGATTCGCATGAGAAAACTGGAATCCACTATTAATACGACTTTAAAATACAACTAATTGACGATCAGAACATGAGAAAACTAGGCACTCTATCAAACTCTAAAGAGTCTTGGCAAATCACTGGCAAAATCCGCCTTAATTCAATGATGTTAAGAATCTCAACTGTAAGATAAATGGCACCATAATTTCCATCCTGGATTCTTAAACCCGAGGTATTCTACAGAGTATGATGTTGCTAAGTCTTGTCGAGAAATATTCAGCTTTCATTGACTGTAACAAGTTGGATTACTAACCTAATTGACGCTCCAGAGAGGACAAAGCACAGTTGAACGAGGTCACCCGAAGACAAGATGGCGTCGGGCGTTCTTTTCTTATGTACTAGTTTCCATGTTAACAGACTTATTTTATTCATATTAAACATATGTAAAGACATTTATTTGTAAATGAACAATACTCAGTCAAGTATAGTATATTTTTTCCGGAGGAAATTTCTACTAACTGTGTCCGCAATTACGCTTAACCAAATATTATTAATAAAAACAGAGACACCTTGTATCTAATAATCAGACAGGGTTGCTTCAACTCAACGCTAGTAATGGAAATAATACATTCATGATAGTCAGAAATCTCATAGGATTAATAAGTCGGGGAATCACAATTACACTTAACCAAATATTATTAATAAAAACAGAGACACCTTGTATCTAATAATCAGACAGGGTTGCTTCAACTCAACGCTAGTAATGAAAATAATACATTCATGATAGTCAGAAATCTCATAGGATTAATAAGTCGGGGAATCATGAGATAAGAAATGCAGTAAGAAACCTAACTCAGAATAGAAAACAAACCTCTGCAACGCTCAGGTGGATAACAGTTTAGTTGAAATGCTCACATTTATCTTCATTTTATTTTAAGAGTTTGACCAAATTTATATTTCAGACCTTCGTTTTGTAGTTAATTTATTTTATTATACACGTTAGGTTACTCCGAATAATTTGTGACCAAAATAACAAAATTTGCTAAACACCCTAGTTACAGAAAAATGGTTAAACTTATCTTTTGAGATATCGGTTTTTCCTTTTGTTATTTCATATATGGATATAATCCTTCATTGCTAGTAAGTAGAAGTTTTTAACGTTTATTCCAAGTGAAACATTACTGAATGTGTTCATCTCTATAGGATCTGGACTATCTCACTGGAATCGTTATCAACAGACAAGCAGATTTCAAAGATATTATTGAAGACCAACAAAGCACAAGTAAACCGGTAAAGTTGGACTATAAACATTAAATAACATTAGGGCAATATATCAGACCAAGGTCTTTGTTATACATATTGTTAAAATAAATATACACATTTTGAAAATCGGATATTTTATATAACAACGTAATACGTTCTGAAGATAAATATATTATTTTTAACCATTATATATTATCTATACAATTGATTTATTTCATATTTTTTCAAATATATTTACTAACGCTTTCTCCTTGTTATTTCATCAAAATCTTTATGGTTCTTGGAAAAGTTGAAGTTATTAATACTTGAATGTTCGAAAACTGTAAAATATGAAATAGTTCATTAATCCTTTCTGTTTTATCTATTATATTTTGTGATATAAATGTTTTATTGGATTGTTGAATTTTTTTTCCTTCTAGTCTTCTATAGGAGATATTGCCAAATCATTATCCCAAAATTACGAGAAAGAACTTCATAAGATTTTGGAAGAAGGATTCGACGACATTTTGAAAGATGCAAATGTTGAAGGGTCGTTAAAATTTGGTATGTATCATGGTGTGAAGTATTTTAATGTTTTAACGGATAAGACAAGACATTTACATAATATAACTTGTTGTATAAAGTACTGTTGCGTCTCTGCTTGTTTCCGGTAGAAATTATTTCCGAGGAACTTTAGCAATACAAGTCCCTTCTTAATTAAAACT